CATTTATTTTCCTTTTGAACTAGAAGAGAGGTAGTAGTCATACTCATACACGAGGAAATACTCTTGTTGCAGTCTTATTCAAATATGAATTTAAGAAAATTTTAAGACCTTCGTATGGCCGGTCTATTATGAATCTGGTTTTATAATTTGAATATTTTATTATATAAAAACATTTGGCGACCATTTTTTATAAGAAAAATTAGATCAATTTTATAATCATAGTATTTGTTGTAATGAAAATCCCTATTCATGCTTTACTTTTCATGGAAGTAGCCTCTCCTAATCTTTCATCTCTGGTCATATCAAATCGCTATGACATTACCATTCTGCTGCATAAGATATCCATCCATTCTTTCATGAATTGTGGTGTAGCATGTCCATGGATGATAAAAGCAGAATGTTAATGATAACCAAACTCATAATTTGCCAATCGGCCTTATCCTCCTCACCATCTTCTGTCAATATCATGGTCTCTGCATTGTTTCTCTGCCTCGCTTCCTCTCCCCAACACCAACACACCACCACCGCCGCGGCCGCCGCAACAACAACAACAACAACCACCACTCATATTATCAACCTCTTCAGAATAGATGTGTGTTATATTTTCTGTAGTCAATTTCTTAGTCTCTACCATTTCTATATCCAAAAACTAATCTCTTTTTTTGTTTCTCTAAAAAAGAAAAAAATTAAATGATGAGCTTATCTGAGATTCTACTACTCTCTCTCTTACCCAATTCGAAAACCTCTCCAGAACAGAATGATTATGTAGTTTTATCTGTTTGGTATATTTCTATTTGGTATTTTTTCACCTTTTTTTTTTTCTCTTCTATTCAAATTTTTTTTTTTTTTGGCCCAGGTGTGATATATCTTAAGGCACGGGTTATATTCTCATTCTAACGATAGTCAAATTTTTGTTTGGCCCAGGAGTGATATGTCTTCAAGTTTGTTGTTGGAATTGAGGTCTTGATCATCATTTATGTTGGTGGAATTTATCTTGCAATTTATGTGTTAAGCTTTATTAATCTGGGTTTGAGTTGTTTGAAGTGATAAAATTACCGATTTTGTTTGTGCATATCAGCTCCAATTTTGTCATTTCTGTTGCATTTGTGTTTGTGTTCATAAAAACTGGGTAGAAAGTTTGTAATCTCTAGATTTGTGTTTGTTTATGTGTGTGAGAATATGTATTTTATCTTTCAAGTTCTATTTTTCCCTTTTTTGATAAATTTCTTGACCCACAACAATGGTGGAAACAGCGTAGAGAATACCCTAAAAGTTCCATGGTCATCTTCTCCATTTATTCATCAGATCCAAAGCTCACAGACCCGTGGGGGTGGATTCTACGAAGGTACTCTCAGCTTTTTAAATTTTTTTATTTTATTTTTTATTTTTACATAGCCGTATTGTTTTTTTTTTTTTTTTGGACAGAGGATATTCACTCTCTTCAGCTACATTGCTGGATGGATGTTGTTGTGGTCCTTGCTTTATTGTTCCAGTCCCTTGATCCAATTTCATGGTGTGTTTATCTGAGCAAACCAAATGGATAGTTAGAGTTATTTGATTTTTTTAAAATTTTTTATCAGTTGTTGTTCATAGCATTTTAGTGCACAACGTTAACTCATTAATATTCTTTAATATGATGCTTGGGTTCTATTGTGAATTAAATTGTTCAATCTATTTTTAGTTTACAATTTTATTTTATTTTTAAATTTAATATTATCATCTATGACTTAAGGAAACAGATAGTCTTCGTTTGAGAAGAGAGAGGAACGGGGGGATATCAGTCGGTGAGAGAGAGAGAGAGAGATAGTTGAGAAGATTAATGTTTTACAGTCTTTGGGGGAGAGAGACTAAGGTAATAGAGAAGAGGAGAGAGTGGGTGAGAAAATTGAGGAGAGATTGCAATTTGGGAGAAGTGCAATTTATCTTGGGAAGATTTTTTTATTAAAAATATAAAAAATGCTACATATTCTTAAAAAAATATAACTTTATAACTCTCACTCACCTGTGATTGGTCCAGGAAGGAAAGAAAAAAAAATAAAAATATATGATTGGTTTACATCATTTTCGGAGTCATGGAGGTTCCTAATTTTGGGGGTCCTTGAAATTTATTGGGGTTGCTAATAAATTGGTGTTTCATTTAAGTTTTATGTCTTCATTTAGGAATTTTTCTCCTTCCTGTGAATTCATTATCTACTCTTTGAAAAAAAAAAAAAAAAAAATTTGAATATATCCCTCTCTAATTTGATTTATATTTTAATCTCATCATTAATTGTACCGTGCCTTCAGGCACGGGCATACGCTAGTAAATTAACATGCAACAAGCAGCCAGTTACCAAAGAGTTGATACCAACAAATACATAGTAATATTGGCCCCGTTTGGTAGAACTGTGGGAAAGTGATTATAAATTATAACTTAACAGATTATAACTTACAGCTGTGAACATAAGCTGATAACCTGTTTCGTGTAACTGTGGGATTATAGATTTAAGTAGCAGAGTAGTGTTTGGTAAATAAGCTGTAAAATGATTTTTTGCTGTGTAATTGTCATTTTTGCCCTCATGAACATTACAATTAATATCAATTAATATCCATGTATTTATATTAATGTTGTGATGTCATTACATATTATTTTTCTTTATATTAATTTAATAGAAGTTGACCGGAATCAATGTCGGGACAGTTTATGGGGTCATGTCGGACCGATGTAGCAGCTGACCGGAATCAATGTCGGGACAGTTTATGGGGTCATGTCGGACCGATGTAGAAGCTGACCGGAATCAATGTCGGGACAGTTTATGGGGTCATGTCGGACCGATGTAGAAGCTGACCGGAATCAATGTCGGGACAGTTTATGGGGTCATGTCGGACCGATGTAGAAGCTGACCGGAATCAATGTCGGGACAGTTTATGGGGTCATGTCGGACCGATGTAGAAGCTGACCGGAATCAATGTCGGGACAGTTTATGGGGTCATGTCGGACCGTTGTAGCAGACACTGTGTGGTCGTGTAATAAAGCTTTAATTTTTGTCTTTTTAGACTTTTTAAAAAAAATTATGTTTTGATTTGTCTTATCAGGTAGACTTTAGAAAAATAATAAATAAATAAATAAAATTACAAAAAAGTAAACCCGAAACCCCAAACCTACTGAAGAACCTTACCGCAATATGTTGTTTGGATGACAAGGAATAGTCTGGGTGAGTAGTGGATATTTTGATTTGTTTAAATCGATTAAATTAATTTGATTTGTTATATTTTAGATAGATGTGTGATGATAAGTGGACAGTTGTAGATTGATTTTTTTTAATCTGTTTAGTTTTGGACTGATGGTAAATTTGAGGCTTCTTTAGTCGCAACCGAATCGTCAAATTGCGAGCACCTCTTGTAATTTGTAAGACTTTGTGTTTTCAATTTTTTTAGATAGTCTGTTTGTATTTTCAATTGAAAAATAGTTTAGATATTCTGTTGTGTTTTCAATTTGAAAATTCTCTTATCAAATAATAAGTATTGATATTTAGTATTTTTGTGTGAAAAATATAAGACTTGATTCACGCTCTTAAATTAAAAATCAAATTAAATAGTTTTTGAATAAAAAAAAAA